ATATGAGGACATATAAGTTTGGATTGATAATAAGAGTTATTATGTAACATAACTGTAATTGAGACTACGAAATGAATGCACAAAACTGATGAACCAACCGACACACTGTTTGTATATATGTACGGAAGAGAGCTGATATTTTTATGTTTTGTTTGTTTTTTTAAAAAAACCAATAAAATTGTTTTTTTTTTAAAAAAGAGATCATAGTTGGCTTTTTTAAAATTATAATTTGGAGTCACATCATTATGACCTCTTTGCAAGGACACAAGTTGAGACAAAATTCAATCATACTGCGATCACTGTTGGAAAAAGGTTCTTTAACTTCTAGGCCATAAATTGAGTTTAAGCTCTTGCAGAAAATGAGATCTAAGCAATTGCTGAGCCTAGTGTTCTTTGTTATCAACTGTCCCAGCCCGTGTTGTAACAGCATTGTACAGGGTTGCATGTATAGGTTTGGTTGTACATTCGTTTAGGGTCCAATTAATAAGAGGCAAATTGAGGTCACCGACAAAGATAAAGGGATGCGGGCAGGAAGCTTCCCACATTAGTAGTGCGACCAAGGTTGTAATCAGGGGCTCTATAACATAGCAAGAATCGAACTGTGGTATTTAAGGACAGTTTGCAGACAGTGGTCAGAGGAAGAGTAAGCTCCTGTGTAATATTAATCTTTTTTAGACCTAGGAATTTTTAACAGAAGATAGCAGCACTACCCCCTCTACGGTTTTCATGGTCAGATCGGAAAAACATGATAGTTACTTACTGTAATAAAGGAGTCTGGAAAGGATACATTCAACCACATCTCGCAGACAAAAATAAGGTCGAATAGGGCCGCATTTAGAAGCAGGAGGAATTCAGGTATTTTGTTTGTGAAGCTTCTTGTGTTAAGTAGCTTGCATTTTAGGCCTGTTGGGTGGACCTGGAAGAAGTTGGGGCATGCATGCCTAGCTTTGGTTATTGGGGGGGGGGGGGTTGGGGTGCAGGCCGCTGGTCTTGCATTTGATACAGTCAGTGCAGTAGTTTATTTACAGGTCAGTCTCTCCTTGGTTCTGGCGTCTTTTGATCTCTGAGCGGAGCTTGCGAGTGCAGGCACATTGTAGTATGGACAGGTCGGTCCGTGAATGAAGTTTCTTATGGTTTGTGCAGCGTTTGATGAGTGAGTTTATTGTGGAGATGAATTTGCGTTTGCTAGTTTCACTCTTGCAAACGACTGCAGAAGCATGGGGCCACCAAGCCATCACTGTTCTTGAACTCAGGGCCGTTGTGGGAAACATCCATGTCATTGGGAGTGATGGTTGATGCCTGGAAGTTGTTGATGTCACAAATCTTTGTGATGTCGTTGGATTCTTTAAGTGTCACCCAGTCCAAATAAGATTGCATCTTTGACAAGGATGGAGATGTTACTTGCAGAATTAGTAGTTTCCTGCAGTTGGGGTAGTTGGGTTGGGATAGGATTTTGGGATATTGATGCTTCGCTTTTCTGTGTTTTTTTTCTTTTTCTTCAGGGGATGTTAATCGTACTTCTCTGATGTCCACCCGTTCAGAGTAAAATAATAAATTTGTCCACTCTGAGCTTGCATGATGGGCAGAATAGTGGAAATGCAAACTGGGAGGTTTTAAGTGAAGCTGACAGCAGGAACTGGGCTATGCCTTTTGTTAACCCCAAGCACTTGTGGTGGGCATATGTGTTGCATAAAGAGCACTTCATGGTACTCTCATCCTCCTTGAATGCTTCTGTACAGATGAAGCACATGCAGGAGTCATAAGGCTCATCAGTAGCCATACGACATCTCCTTCTTTTTGGGTGGGGGTGTGGCAGCAGAGTGTTTGCCTGGCATGGTAGGTTTGCTGTGGAGGCACTGGTGTGGTTGGTGAGGAAGTATGTTTTTCCCCAATTAGTGCATATTATTTTAAAACAAGAAAGCAAAATCACTTAGCAATGGAAGTATGGTCCCAATTATGAGAATTAACTGTATTAGAAAATATTTAGTATACTACAGGTAGTCCTTGAGTTATGAATGTAATGGAGCCTTCCCATTCCATTTGTAACCCAAGAATTCGTGAGAGTGAACCTTGTACTTTGAACGGGATCACTCCCTCCAATCACCCACGCATTTGCTAATTGAATTCGAGGCTTGTTAAGTGCACATGAGGTATTTCAGGGTGTGGAAGGCTGCGGGGGGGGGGGAATACTGATGGAACAGGCCATCTGCCTAAGACAACCAAGGAGGCCTGGAGACACTCTGAAATACCTCATGCTCCCCACAATTGCTTTCCCCCCTCCAACCTGCTGCGTCGGTTCACTTACCTTGTGAAGATCTAGCAAAAAGTCTCCTAGTAGGTTGCCTGCTGAAATGGAGCTTCTGGGGGGGTAAATCTGGCTCTCCGATGCTGCATTCAGCCCTTTACGGGCCTCTCCCGGCCTGTTGCAGGCCAAAATGGAGCCTCTGGGGGCCAGATCTGAGCCTCCAGGAGCTGGATCTGACCCTCCAACACTCTGTTCAGAGCTTTGCAGGCCTCCCCTGGCCTGTTGCAGATTGAAATGGAGGTTTTGGGGCTGGATCTGGCCTTCGGAGGCTCCATTTGGGCTTGCAACAGGTCGAAGAACTGTGATGGGCTGAACAGAACATTAGAGGGCTGGGGGAAGCCCCTGTAGGCTTGGGGGAGGCCCCTGGACACTTGAATGGGGATTCTGAGGGGCCGATCCACCCCTTAGAAGCTCCCTTTTGGCTTGCAATGGGTCAGGGAAGGCCCTTGGAGGGCTGAACGGAGGGTCAGAGGGCCGAATCCGGCCCCTGGAGGCTCGGATCTGGCTCTGGAGGCTCCATTTTGGCCTGCAACAGGCTGGGGAAGACACATGGAGGGCCAAACGGAGTGTCAGAAGGCCAGACTCATCCCTCAGAAACACAATTTTGGCCGGCAATGGCTGAGGGAGGCCACTGGATGCCTGAATGGGACTTCTGAGGGGTGGATCCCCATCTCAGAAGCTCCATATCGGCCGGCAATGTTCAGGATGAATGTTGCAGAGCCTCTGTGGTTGTTCGTAAGGGCGAACAACTCCCGTGGTGCTGCAAGATTTGTAGTTTCAGGCCTTTTTCATAAACGCTAGGGGACGCTTATAGTGGAAGTTCGCACTTTCGCTAAGGGAGAGATTGTAACCCAGAGATTACCTGTACCTAGTTTTCCTGCATTGTCAACTAATGTTGTCAACCATTTCTGAAATCAATACTGGAGCTTTTATATGAAATGTATTCATATAAATACCTACGTTTGTGGGCAATACATTAGTACAATGTATATTAGAATACATTAGAAAAATATATATTCATTTATTAAATGCTCATCTCTGCCCATCTCAATAAAGCCTCAACAGTAACACATTTATGACTTGACAAAAATTGCCTGCAGGAATAAAATCCTATTTGTAAAATAATTTATATTATACAAACACACACATACTTAAATCATTCTCTCATACAAAATACTGTTACAAATAGATACAAATGTATATAAATGCATAAAAAAAGAGACTGGAACACCTTGGCTCAGCAAGCATAGTCACATTAGTAAATTGTATTAGTTTCACTACCTTTATTATTTCCAACTACAGGTAATCCTTCATTTATGATCACAATTGAGCCTAGAATCTCAGTTGCTGAATGAAGCAGTTGTTAAATGAGATGTCATATGACTTCTTCAAAAATCACCATCCTGGCTCATCTATTTGCTATTGTCAACCAGCCATGTGGATTATTATGTGGAGTGAGGGACTGCTTCAACAGGTTGGAGAGGTCCTCAGTTCGCTGATACGTGTAAACCTGCTGTGGATCAGGAGGCCTCAGTTGGTTCCAACCCAGTTAGCCACCTGGGGAGCTTCAGGTTGCTGCAGAGACTACACAAGCAAAGCTACTTGCCTGCAGCCAATGCAGCCAATTAGTCATGCAGGAGAGCCTGAGCTGGCTTAGGGCTACTGACATACATAAAGCTGTTGCAGCTCTAAATGTGGGTCAACTGCTGAGTACCCAAAATGCAGTCATGTGACTGCAGGAAGGGGGCTGTTCAATCTTTGGACTTGATCAAAAGTACCTTTTGTGGGTCTGTGGTAAGTCAAGGACTACCTTCCTTATCCCTCTAATAGGGTGAAAGATCATGGGAAAGAAAAAATAAGAATTTGCTTCAGTTGGGCTATGAGAGATTAAAAAATGCAAGAGGGTAAAAAAGTCCTCAAAAGCCTGCCTATTATGTCTTCCTACAAGATTTACACTGAGACTTTCACAGAAGAAAACTTTTCTGTTGTTTCAAATATTCTCCAGTGTAAGGATGGCTACAATTAAAGCCACAGAAAACAAAAAAAGTCAGAAATTACTTTCATTTTTCTTTTTGCAATAGTACGAAGAATATTAAAAGAGCAAGATGCCTTTATTTCTCAAATATTACAACAAATGACCAAGTTTTCTTCTTTGGTAGTGGATTTGTCAATATTAATAATGTAATACAACTTTTAATAAGCAGAAACTCAAGAAGTATATTTGTGTTTGTGTATACCAAGTCTTTACTACGCTTACATAGTTAATCAGATTTGTCTTCAACATTTTCAAAGATGTTAACATGATTGGGGATTGCTCAACTCTAGACTGCCTTCAGACTGATTTGGACATTTAAAATAATGATACATCGGTAAAAACGTTTACCAGATTAGAACTACAGTATTCTAATAGCACTATTTAAACAGTCAAATAATTGAAAGCATGAATTAAAACTGAACTTGAATAATTTAGCTGTCAAAATATAGGCAGGTCTTAGTTTATGTGCTATCCCAGTATCTTCTGCGTAAGTTTTTGTATAAATTGGACCACTATTTGTATAGTATACCTATCTACCATTTTTTGCATGGTCTATGGGAAAAATTCTGTGAAGCCAAATTTATTTTAATGAAGTCTTACCTGGTTCTGAAAGCATCTGTAAAACTATGTAATAGCTAAATATACTTTTGATAAAAGTACCTGAGGAGGTAGGGTCTTCTGAGAAATCTGGTAGTTCTTCAGGGGGATCACCGTAGAAGGAACTGAATTTGTGGCTTGATACTGCTGCCAGTACTGCACCCTAGATAAATTAAAAACTTGTTACTAACTGCACATCAGTTTTATTTCAACAAAGTTTATGAGTTGCTTTAGATTAATATTCACCATTAGAAATTAATCAAGAACCTTAAGTGTTGCACAATAAAACTGATTATTTGCAATAGTATGGAAGTTTTCAACTGGACATACATTTATGAAAACATTTTAGAACCATACAAGATAGCTACTGGTCATCTATAGAGAGACTTAGTGTCATATATGCCTCCAGGATAGAAAAAAGGCTTATTTTCTTTGGCTTTTTATAAAAGCATTATGGATTAGCATACATAAACTAATACTGTACACAAAGTGTTCACTGGAAGGCATCTGCTTTGTCCTTGAAACTGATATATTCTTAATAGTGAAAATTTTGAACACTTCTGTTCTCTGCTGGACATATCTTTTAGTTGAGAATGAAATATTCAAAACTGTTTTTCTTGTCTGGTTAAGTAACATCATTTTTCTGAAGGCAGAAGATGGCAAACAGAATTCACTGTCCTCGACTTAATTCTTCTTAATAAACATAACAAAGTACAAGAAATATAATGTTGGAAGGAATTTTTGAGGGAATCATTTCCAATCCCATGCTCATTTGCATGAATACTTATAAGCCTGATTGTCTAGCCTCTGCTGAACGGATCTATTGAAAGTGAGTCTCTTTGAGCAATTGGTACCACTAAGAAGTTTTTCTAACACTGGAATCTGCCTCCTGCAATTTAAAGAAATTATTTTATATTTTGCATTCTGGAATGATTTAATAACAGGTCCTGACATTCTGTGTGACATCCTTTCCAGTATACTGACACTTTTCATAGGATTGCTCCTAGTTTGTTAATCATCTTTGCAGCAATTTTTTCTGAACCTGTTTACATTTTTCTGAATCATTCTTAAAAAGTCATGCCCAGAACTAGATAAAATATATTATTTATAACATGATCAAACTAAAATTGTGGGACAGTTACTTCTCATAATTTGGAAATGTTATTTATGTTGATGCAGTTTAAAATTTCATCTGCTCTTTTTACCATACAGATTCATTATCAGGTTGCAGTTAATTATTATTCTAAGATCTTTTTCACAAATGCTATACCAAGCATGAATATATCCTATTCATTCGTTAATTCCAGTTAATTCCATTATTTTTAGCCCGTTTCTCTAACCCAATTGTTTGACTTTTATTCCTATTTTCAAGCACCGGCATGCCTACCGTCTCTATCCTATTGTTTCTTTTATTTTTCTTATATGTATCCATTTCATGTATTCATAACTATGTTTATACTTATACCTATTATCTTGTAAGTGATTGACAATTTAAATAAATGAAATCAAACAATATTTGCAAATGACAATGTGTGTCTTGCGGCTTGCTGCTATAGAATAGGAAGGAAGGAATAGGGGGAAGATTATATTACAGCTTTGCTGCTGTTATCTCCAAGGCCAAGTCCGTTGGCTCTGGTATGTGATTGCCTAGCTACAAGGGGGTTGGGCTGTATGCAGTGTTTGAAGTTGATGTGCTAGAGCGTTTTCCCTCATAGCTTGCTTAAAACTGTTTGCTTTCTGTTTGTTCCTAGTAAAAGTACTTTTCTCTAAATCTTAGGAGCTAAGGATTTTTCTTTCCAAGGAAATGAACAGAGGCAGCCCTGACAATATGTCATCTATTAATTTGGTGACAAATTTTCCTTATTTCTTCATCCAAATGAGTTATAAAAATATTGAAAAGTAGAAACTAAATAGCAAATGTAAGTTGCAATCATGGTTACCAATAAGATAGTCCAGCCTTAATACACAAGTATCTATCTGCTGAACAATGCTGAGAACTAAAAAAAGAAGCCTCTAATTAAAAAATATAAAGAATGTGACATATAGTGATGAAATTGGACAAAACAAATCTTCTCCAAATTTCTATTAATATACTAGAAAATAACCAAGAAGCTAGTTTTATTGAGATGTGCAAAGCAATTCTTCAAATGAAAGGGACAAGTGTTAGTTTTCAAAGACTTTAAAATGTTTCTGCAAACAGAAAAAAGAATGGTATTATTTTAAAAAATATGCCCTACCCATCACCTAGTATTTTATGAAACTCAAAATAATAATTTTTCTGACAACTGTATATCAATAAGAAAGCATAATTAAGTTTAACTGTTTTATTAATTTAAACTATTTTAAAAAGTTATTTTTGGCAAATTAAAAAGTGTGCCTTGATTACAAAAACATAAAAAGATGTAAAAAAAAACCCCTTATTGGTATATAGAGATCTATTAAAGGAGTTGTATTCCTTTGACTATGACCAGTCTGCTTTAGTTGGCTGAGTTAAAGAAGAAACTGCTCTGCAGTGATATCTGAATTCTAAGCACTGACATTATCCTCTCAACTCAAGGAAGTCCGGCTCAAACAATATTGTCTCTATGTAAACGTGAGAACTATGAAATAAATAATCCTTTGGTTTATCTCTGCCCAAATATATACTGGAGTCGCTGAACACATGTGCTTGGGAGGATTTCTGATTTGTTTCTATGGCTAGTATCAAAAAAGGAAAGTATTTTTATACAAAAGTATTTTTATACAAAAAGTACATTTATACAAAAAGTTTTGTATAAATGAATGTTTACTGTGTTATGTGAAAATTCTAGAAAAACTAATATTTACCTCAGTGTAACATGCTTTTGATTTAATTTTAAGTCCCAGCTGGTTCAAGTATTGCTATTAAAACTGCTTCTACATATTTACATATTTTATGAGAGATGTGTAGAAGCGTGGGCCAAAAACATTCAGAATTATACTAATGGAAACAAAGGAAGACATCAACTCCATCAAACCTTATTTAATGAAGAATGTTCTATGCTCTAATCATTATATAAATCAGGGGTGTCAAACATGATTTTGGACAGGGGTGGATCCTCGCTGGCTCCAGGGCAGCCCCACGGATCTAAGGCTGACCACTTTCTGGCTCGGATGGCCACCACTGGGTTGTAGATCAGCGCCCAGTTGGCCTGGGTTGGGCTGAGGCACTACTGGTTAGTTCTTCACTGTTTCCAAGGAAGTTCCATGGGCCAGATCTAACCATATTGCGGGCCAAATCTGGCCCATGGGCCTTGAGTTTGACACACCTGATATAAATCATCTCAAATTTGATATAAAAAATAAAGAATACTTTCAAAGGGAAATTCTTCTCTTAACAAAAACAGACTTTCCATGGAGAATCTGATATGTGAGTATAGTTCTATATTAAAGGAGAAATGTGTATGTAAAAAATCCATGACTTCTGAGAACACAAAACAACTTACTGAAATGTATATGTCAGCCACAAATACCTTTGCCATTGATTTAAAAATATATCACATATTTCAATTAAATAATAGGGGTATGCAATGAATGTTCATATTTGTTTTGGAAGAGATATTGAGGAATACATGGGTACATAAATGCAGCATCTCAGATTCATTAAATCAGCTGGGTCCATTTCCAGGAGTGTGTATGATTTTACTGTGATTGTGGAAATAGATGTAGCTTCTTTGATAACAGACAGGTGCTGTTCCAAATTGAATCCTAACTCAGAGAGACAATTTGCATTATGCATTATTATACAATCCTGTTAGTATCATAAATTTAATATAGGTGTGCTATTTTTCTTTTACCTTCAATTTTCTTCTTGCATTGAATTTTCTCAGCTGTTCCACAGTTTCTGGAAGATGAATCTTGTATGCATAGCGATCACGCTCCTATAAACAGTCATGTATTTTTATTATATTCAGTTGTATTTTGCAAACATGAGACTAAAACACTTTTTATATAAAATTCCAAATAAATTGAAAAATCAGTCACCATTATTTATACATTATGTAACTACTCTTGATTTCAGAGCACATAAAAAGCTATTTGCAAAGATGGTATGAGGTGGAACACTTTTTCTGATTAGATATTGCTCTGCTTAATGAATAAGGTTTGAAAATATATATTTATGGGTATCAAAGATTAGTAGCAGTCAGCTATCCTCTTATGGGTTACAAATTTTTCCCAGTGGGATTATCAGCACAGGTTTCCCTAGTTTTATGCTAGGATTATGTTCTCTTAAAACATTTTATAAAGTGAATTCATATAAACAAATCGGTGAACTGGTGGAAAAAAGAAGACTGTATAGTGTTGAATTGTTTTTTTATATATTTTCTATATCTGGATTTGTAATGCATATGGTTATCATGGCATACAAAATGTGGAATGCATCATGGCACTATGGATCTTATTAATGCTGTTATGTTAGGCCTAGTACATTTGTCAAAGGCCAGATATCTTTCATCAGCTTTATTGCAACATAATTATGTCCAACTTTGGTTCAGTGTTAAATTCCTTCCCTTTTCATTTTGAACACCAGGATTGTACAAGATGTTGACGGCTGTTTTGATCCCATAGTAACAGTAGTAGTTAATTGCAGGTATAGAAGAAAGCGGGAGACAAGATATACAACTAAAATGACAGCAGTAAACGATGGGGAATGCAGAAGTGGAAAAATGTTCAAGTAGTTTTGGTGGAAAGAATCTGAATCTATTTCCAGACCTTTGGTGCAAATTTACTATGTTGGCCCAAACTGATATAACTGTATATATATATATATATACATACATATGTATATTCATATGCATTTATAAAGATAATTCTTGGATGTAACAGATCAATTGAACAGTAGTGAATTTGTTTAAAGGAAATTCATGTAAACTTGTAATTAAAAAAATGCCACTAATCTAATAGCTAAATAGAACAAGCTCCTATAAATAAGGTAAATTCTTAAGGATGTTCTGGAGCAACTCTGATCATGGAAATGTAGGATTATTTACTACAGTTTAGATATTATGCCAACTGAAACTTTATTTATAAAGGACTGTCTGCTTTGCATAATCCATTTAGTAATGATATACAAAACAAACTAAGTAACAAATATACTTGCAGATCTTTATGCTGTGAATCTTTAGTTGATTACTTTGCCTTTGAATTTTATATTGCTGAGTTCTAACATGCAGTTATTATAGTGGTATCTTGGCTGAATGTTTTTGTAATATTTAATTTTACTAGTTTTTATTATTCTATTTGTGAATTGAGCTTTTTATATATTTAGAAAGGTTTAAACTGTATATTTTAAATTAATAGAAAATATGAATCAAAATGAATTAAAGCAAATATCAGAATTTAAAATAGCTTCTTAATATTCTGGAAAAAGAAGTTATCTTATTTTATTTTTTTTTGCAAAAAAAAACCTTTATTCTTTTTAAAAAAAATAAATAAAACAAACAAGAGTAAAGAAATCAATGCATGTTTATGTAAGAAAGAGAATTCAGGGTAAAATTATCAATAGGGCCACCTATTCCTATACAGTCTTCCCTACAGTCCTCTCAGGGTTACCTTTGTAGGCTTTTGCCACAAATGTGTTTAATATCAATAGCAAATGCCACTTTTTTGTGGCATACTCCATCTGGTTAGTACAATTTAAAATGTACTTTTTAACTCAAATTCTAACACTTTAAACATTTTAGTTTTAATGTCGTTTTAAAATTTTAAAATTTTAAGTGAATTACCCAGAACAATGGATACTTACAGAATAAGTGCAATAAATTATTGCGTAAATTATCAATGGATATGTAAGAATGTAATTCATGTTAGTAAATAAATAAATTGAATCTTTTAAGATTTTTGTTTTCCGTACCTTCAGCCAAGGATGATTAAGTGCCTCATAAACAGTTATTCTCTCAGCTGGATCAAGCATAAGCATGCGTCGAACTAGATCTTTGGCACTTTCAGATATATGGCTCCACTGTCTGGGATTCATCTAAGTTTAAAAAAAAAAAGGAATTTAAAACTAGTCACGATAGTGAGGTACACCAGGTATTTCATGTTTGTACTTTTTGTAGGAACAATATGTTGAAGTTAAAACCCCAGAAGTTAAATACGTGTCACTTAAAATAATAATTTACTTTTAGAATGAATAGACATATGCTTGAAAGAGAACAAGAAATCACTGCAATGTCTGATTAGAACATTAATCAAGATGTGATAAAATAGTGTCATTACTTGATATACTAGGTTTGTGAGCACAATAATTTCCTGATTTCTACCAAAGATATATAATCACATTTTCACTATTACTGAATCAGGATCATTTACTAAGCTAATATATTTTAGGTGAAATTAAACTAACACAAAAGCAGGGGTGGGATTCTACCAGTTCTGTCCAGCTCTACAGAACCGGTAGCTCTGAAGAACAGCAGACACAGAACTGGTTTTGGCCCACCCACCTGCCTGGGCTCTTACCTGTCCTTTATTTCCAACTTTTTCAACCACAGCTGCTTTGCGTGGCACAGCTGCGGTTGAAAAAGCAGGAAAAAAGGGCTTTTCCAACTGCTGCGCACCCGCATGCAACGCTGCTCAGCTGTCCAGGCAGCTCAGCAGGTCGTAAATGGCACGCATGCGACACAGAGCAACAGAACCGGTAGTTATACTGGTCGGATCCCATCACTTCACAAAAGGTTAGCAAGTAATTGACAAAATTTGCTGGTTTTGCAAAAATAGTTTACAATTTCTTTATAGAAAGTGAAATATGCATACATATATAGATGATGTAGAACCTATAGAAATCAGATACAGAAGATTTGAATCAACAAGGCTCAACTGAGGTAATGGAAAGACAAATGCTAAAGATGTTGCTTAAATGTGGTAGCCTTACAATTATATATAGCCAAGTAGATGACTTCCTATAAGATAGTGAGAAAGACTACATAAAGATCTTGGTCCTAAATGGAACAAAATATCTATTAAAGTAACTGACTCTGAGAATTATGAGAACTAAATGTTTCTGGAGGTCACTATGGGAAGAATGATGTATAATAATCTCAACCTGAGAATAAGTACTAGAATATTTATGTAAGCTCTAAAAACAAAATAGTAAATTTGAAACTAGGTTTAATGTTAAACCAAAAAAATGAACACGGAGATGAAGTCAGAATTGTTGGCTTATTTGATATTGTTTGGGGATTTAAAGGGTGGGCACAGGAGCAGTCACCTTCTCTCATTCCTATCTTCTCAAATCTCTCCCCAAAGGGCTGAAGTTACCTCTGCAAATTGTGACTTTGGGATATAATAACAAGAACCCCCATTTAAAAAAAAATTACATTGATTAAATTTAGCAGCATGATCTTGGGGGTGCTGAGAGTTGTATTAGTTATGAGACATTGGTGATCATTGAGTTCTATGCTATACCTAAAAATATTGGTATAATTTGAAAAAAAATGTTTTCATTTCCAAGTACAAGCTGGAAAGTTTATTAAAAGCTTAAAATTTGCATGTAGGGAATGGAATATCTTTTATTGGGTAAAATTTGCATGTAGAGAATGGAATACATATACCTATGTTTTGAAGAGTGAAGTAAACATGTCAGGTATATAACTGAAATCAGCTCCGGTTGAACTTCTGCCGCCTTTGGAGCAAGGTCCACGATCATCTGCGGCTTCGCTTCGAGCTCTCCTCGTCGGAGGGCCCCAAATGGAACCAGAACCACCCTGAAGAGGTGAAGAAAGAGGGACCACTTGACAGGTAGAGGAGAGCCGCATCTCTCGTCCCTGACATGGAAACCCCCCACATCCAAAGACGAGCTGTGGCGGCAGTGAAAATGGCTGGCATGAAGACAGTGTCAGTCTGAAACCTAAGACTATGCAGGAGTGAAGAGTCGGTGAATGGTGTATGAACTGGGTGAAAATATTTCTCAACTGCAAAGGTAACCTCGATTAAAATATCAGGAAAGAGAACTCACAAGGATTGGGAATTAGTGGTGACCTAGAATTAGAGAAGAATACAAAGAACTAATTAAAAAAACAAATGGAAAGGAAATAAATTAAAGGAAGAGAACTTCTTAAAAGAATAATTGAAAATTGGAATTGGCGATTGCACATTTGGCACTGGATAGGCATTATTTAAAATGCTGTAACTGACTGAGAAAAAAAGAATATAATATTTGGAAATATTGACAAATTTAATGAAAGACTAAAGAAACAGGGTAAAAAGGTGGAAAGTGAAAACTGATACCAGAGCACCACTTGCTGTTTAAAGAAAAATCCCGTAGATCCCTAAAGCCTTCATGACCTATTTAAAGAAGAACTTAAAAGAAAAATAAAAGGAACTGTATTGTTAAAAAACCCCAGAAAGCTGGAATATTAAACTTAAATCAGTGGAGGAATGTATGAAGATACCCACTTGGATTATTGAAAAGGAATAGACCGATTGACTTTGGGACATAAAGATTTCAGGATATTGGACTAATAGATTGAAAAAGGACACTGGTTCAAACAAAGACTGTGGGACAATTGGACATAAAAAATAAATACACAAAAATAGCAAAATATGCAGAGAAGGGGTGTTGGAACTTTGAACCATAAAAGAAATGATGAACAGAGAAGCCTTAAGGACATTTTGAGCAAAATACAGAGCATGGAAGAAAACCTGGAAATGGAGATGCAAACTATAGAAAGAAAACAAGAAATGCAGGAGTTAAACAGAAGAGAAACCAGCAAAAGAGCAGAGGGAACAACAAATAAAGCAAAAGGACAAAAAGGACATAAAATACAAAATGTTAACGACTGATGTAATAAACCAAGGGGAGAATATTTTGAGGGCAAAGCAACAGGGAAGGAAACTTAAAAAAGAGAGGACTGAGAGGATAAGGGCAAAATTAGACAACTGGGAAATGAAACAGTGGAACACAATAGAGAAAGGAGGAATGAGCAAGGGAAAGGGTCAAAAAATGATAGAAAATGGAAAGCAAGCTAGGAAGAGATTAACTAATACTGTAAGGAGAGTAAGAGACGATGGCTGAAGAGGGGAAGGATAAGGATTCCATATGAATGGGTATTTAATTAGCTGAGATATATAATCATTAACTTTGATGAATTTGAAATTAATATTTTATTATAGAACTATTACTAAAGACATATAAATCATTAATCATAATGAATACAAGGCTCAATATTTTAATTGGAACAAATATGGAATTAAGACCTTATTATAGGATTGTTAAGACTGAAAATTGTTAATTGAAATATGAATGATAACTAAGGGAAAGAAGGGAAAGAAATGACATGTGGAATATGATAGAAAGAAAAATAACATAATGTATGGTAATAGATAAAAATTATTATATTATTATTAGAATGTATAATTTGCTAAATGAAAATAAAATGGAAACTACGATTTGTGTATTACCATGAGATTAGAAAGAGACCTCGTTTTAAAAATAAGTGGCATAATTAACATTAAGAAGGGGATAAATACCGGAAAATGTTAAAATATGAATTAATGAATGATTACTTAAATAACATAATTTGTTAAATATTGCAAATATGACTATTAAGGGAATATGTATAACAAAAAATGATAAGAACATAGATATAAAGTAGCATATGAGAATACTGATTGATAAAAACTAATAATATATAGAAATACTAAATTAGTTAAGTAAGTTAATAGTATGAATATGAAAGGGTCATGTTTGTTTTAAAATGTTAAATGACCTGGAACCACACTGTTCACACAGTGATGTATTTAATAGAAATACAAAAATAAAAAATATATTTTAAAAAAATTGAAATCAAAACCAAGTTATTACTGAACAGTATAAAAGGTCAGGGAGAAGAACTTTCATTCACAATTACAGGTAGTCCTCAACTTACAACAGTTTGCAGTCATAAATATGAATCAGTTGCCAAGCATCTGAATTTTGATCACATGGAGGTTCTGCAAAGGTCATAACTTCATAAGTCACATTTTTCAGTGCTGTTGTAACTTTGAATGGTCATTAAATAAACTGTTGACTTTGCTTGTCAGGTCACAAGAAGGAATCACGTGACCTTCTTGTGACCTTGCCAAGCATCTGAATTTTGATCACATGGGGGGTCTGCAAAGATCATTATGTCATAAGTCAATAAGAAAGCCAGATTCACTTAACAACTATTACTAACTTATCAACTGTCAGAGTGTTTGCAACGTGACTACTATTGTAAGACAACCCAGGAGCAAAACACAGCACACAGAGGCTTTGTTTTTTAACAGTGGTTTATATAAAAGACTGCTGTATACATAAATATACTTGATAGGCTGTATTTGACGTCTACATGTTTACTCCTGTTTCCAATGTGATCTCCTGTTGCCATTTTTATACATGCCACATTGTCTACAAACACTGGCTTCTTTTACATTCACATTTATATCCTTTAGCAATTGTACATACCAGGTTATTTCTGAACAAGCCTCAGACAATGCTCTGAATTCTGCTTCAGCAGTAGAGAAGGCTATGGAAGGTTTTTTCTGGATTTCCACCCAATTACAGTGTCAGCAAACAATACTATAAACTCTGTGTTTGATTTTCCATCCTGTATATCATTTGCTCTTCTGGTAATCTCATGGGAGTAAAAACCTGATGCACATCCATAGATCCATTTCCCTGTCCATAGCATCCTTCCATTTTTCTTGTTCTACCTTAGGCAATGACAACATATCCTGGTAATTTTGTGGTCATATCTAACATTATGTACTCTAACGTCACTTGCAGTGAACTGCTCAAGAGGTATACCTTTATTACTCCTTTCAGATCTCCTTGGTATTATCTGTTCCTATGTTTCTGTGCTTTCACTTTTTATCACAGGTCTATCTTCTTCTATATCTGTATCTGTCCTGGTTTCCTGTCTCTCCTTTATCGAGCTGCCCTCCGGTAAACCAGTGCTATGCATTGGCATGAACATCTCATCATTAGCATGCACCCTATTCTAATTATCCTGCTCCGCA